GGTAGACACGTTCCGTCGAACGGGCCACGTCCATTAGCAGCGCGATATGATCGATCGACCGCGAGACGTGTCCTGTTAACCAGGAGCTATAAATATAGATGGGGTAGCATAACGGTCGTTCGACGACCGGACAGATGAGTTGGGGGATTGGGGAGCTTTGAACGAAAGTTCGAGGTGAAATCTTCGTGAAACAAGGCGCATGTGGAGGTGGAAGATCAATTGACGAGGACGGATTGGATGACCACGAGGCCCTGGCGATGAAGGCGATGACAAAGGAAGGGGATGATGATGATGGTCACAGAGAATCTAGCCGGCGCGATGCGAAGACGGATGTCTCCTAGCGTGAAGCTGAGGAGTAGGAGACGTACGCCTGCTGCCTTGACGCGGCGGCTGCGGTGGAGCCCTCGCGCCTCCAGAGGCGGCGAGTCTGCCCAAAGAGGGATCAGACGCAGGCGTTTGAACCGCCGAAATGCTCAAACGACCCATCTGTGCGTCGAGAGACGCGACGGGCGCGTGGCGGCTAGGCGCATGTGCCACCGACGCGTTGGAGAGTAGTAGGTGTGGCACCGATGGTGTGCCGCTACCCTGCATTGCGAAGCGTAGCACTTCTGCATCGTTGTAGTCGCCGTCCACAGGTGGTAAATCGATAGTGCGGAGAATGGGAGCGTTTATAGGAGGCGCAGCGGCGCGAGAGGGGTCCTGTGGGAGAGAATGTGAGCTAACGAGTGGCACAGCGCACGCGAATGAGACGCACCTGATACCCTGGCGCAACTCGGTACATTACTCTTGTCGTCGTAGTGTGTTCTGTACGTATGTAGTGAGATCTGAGGTCGTTTGGGAGTGCTGGAATCGTCAAGGGAGTCGTTGGTGGTGGGTGTAGTGCAAGGTTGGTGTGGGCGCAGAAGGTGATATCGCTTATGTTGCTCGCGATGGAAGGTCTTGACAAACAACGCACACTCTTTATCCCCAAATATCTCGGATTCCCACCAGTCACGCCGCAGATTTTCGCCTTATCCGACGATCAGTGGGGATCTTCACGGTTGCACACCGATTTCGGAAGCCCAAGGCCGTGCAAATCCCCCTTCCTGCGACATTCACGAACCGAAATTCCTCGAGACAAAAGCCCGGATCTAGCGCCTCGAGGCGTGTTTGAGGCGTGCTGGTTGGACGACATTACCCTCAAAGCGGGGAGAGATGACGTTGAGATTCGTTTTAGATGCGAGTTATCATGAGGTGATAAGCTTAGCCAGGAAACAGCGAGGAGTGCGGCGTGGCTCGGGGTCGACGAGCGATTCTATCAAAACTCAGGAGACAGAGGGGAGGTGAACATTCGGGGATTCGACCCCACGAAATTTCGTGTATTTAATTCAAGTATTCCGTTCCAGGTCTCGGAATGGCGGAGTTAGGCCAAGGCTGTGTACGAACACTCGCGGCAAGGAAGAGCGCATGGCGGCGGCATCGTCTGATGGCCATGAGGCGTGGATTCCCACGATGATAACGGCGGGAAGCGACGGGCGCTTAATTTCGATGCGTCTCCCCTTTCACTTCTCCTGCCTATAGTGCTTTTGCGACCAAGACATTAGGCGCCCTGGAAGGATATAGGACAACGGAGCACATGCAAACCCGAAACCACCATGTGCACACCCCCTATCGTTTCGAATCAGCAAGTTCAAAGTGAGTTGGGCTCTAAGGTGGGCACACGCTGATTGGCTGATCTATGTATCTGCGTCTACGCTGGAAGGCTGCGTCAGCTACACGAGCACCACGTCTCCTCATGCATCATGACCAGAGTCTGACAACATGCAACTGCGGGCGCAGGTAGAAGTTTGTTCGAGGAACGGCGGATGGCCTCACGGCGACGTGTATAGCCGTGCGAACGCGAGTAAAGCGCCTATTTTTATCTCGAGGAGCTCGTGACGCGTGTGCGTGTCCCTCCAACTGTGGTAAGTCTACTGATGAAAGCTTGGGAAATTTTCATTGTTCTCGTTTGCCGGTAATTCGATGGGTGGAAACGGCTGTTCGAGGTCACAATCGAACCTTTCACGGCACAGCCGACTTCGCTGAAAATTTCCAGTGAACTCCACGACCGGGCATCTGCGCGAGCATAAGTATGTATCAAAATCATTATACGGCGATATGGTCTAGTGTTGCTCATTCTTTTTGATACCCGGAAGGGGTGTTTCCTCTTCTCAGTTGGGCTATGCGTCGTCCGGTCTCTATATTGATGGTTCCTCGAAGAAACGGGTACGTCGTAAAAGCAATTGATCCATGGAGAATATCCTCATTACCGCCGGTACATTCAGCCTCCGCGTCGATGATGTACGCGAGCCATGTGGCACTGATTGCTCTCAATGTAGTCTCGGAGGGACTTAGGTGTCCGTCTTCATCATATCTATTCTACGTGTGCCCTGGAGGCTGTATACTAGGTGTGCCTGGGATGGACGGTGAGGGAGCGAGGTAAAATCTTTCTTCGTCTGATCACCGCTTCAAATGCACCAGGGAGGCATTGCCGTCTTCATGATGAACCAGTACGGACCAGTAATGCATCCGCTCAACGCTGGACGTGCCCGAGACATCGCGCTTTCTGACTACTAGCTGAGCTTGACCGCGTGCGAGTCCCTGGAGGTCGCTTCACGAAAATGATTGGCTATTGCGAGCGGCTTCTCCCGCACGCACTAAACAGTTGGTTTTTCAAGAAGCTCAATTCGGTGATGTTGCATTTATCAGCTGCAAAGCTCCGACGTCTGAGAAACTCTGTGGAAATGACCGTCGCAAATTTTGCGAGCGCCGGCCGATGAGAACTAGACGGTCCAATAAATCTAATTCTGGCGAGAAGGCTGCACGATCATTGCAGCTGAGTATGCGTTTCTCGCAGTATAGGTGTAAGAATAGAGTATCCCTGTAATTCGCTAGAGGTCTGCACTATAATAGGATTAGTGCTGCAAGTTCATCACACGGACATCCTATTGTCCGATACTCGTTCAGAACACTATAATGATGGTGTAGTATAAGTGGAGCTCGTGTGGGTCCATCAGGTGGGACTACGCTTGTCCCCGGTGCCTGAACAAACTGTAGAACGTCCACGTCATGAACTTTTTGCTTAACGACACCCGTACCTGACTTCCTGGACGAGGTGCACGTAAGGTGGTATCATGATCGCTGTGCTTTCCTCTTCGTCGTCATCGGCGTAACTCTTACTGTCCAACGTCCGTTCCTGAGTCAAAGTTGACGGGCTTTCTTTCGTCTCTTTCGCCCAATCATGAATCATAATAGATGGGCGTTGTCTCTGAATTTACAGGCCCCGCAAAGGTCTAGAACAGCGCTATGAATAGAATTGAGCAGGACGAGTAGTCGATAAATGTTAGAGCAGGGGAGTTAAGTGGACGAAGGACCTCATGCTATGTCCCTGGCCATTATTGTCCAAAGACTTGATGTCGAGCGATGATCATAGTACCTTTCCCCCTGAAAGTGACGTTTGGCGTACGTGGGCTTGCTTCTACCATGGGCCAAGCCCACGGAAGCCAGAAACCTGGGACACGTTGCTACCGCTCCCCGGCCACGGGGTGTGGTGGTGTTAAGGTGGGGAAAAGATTCGGAAGCATCCGTATAGGCCCTGCAACCCAAATACGACCGTGAAACCGTGCAGCGGTTTGAGAACTCGAGGATGGAGCTAAGTGGCAGAAGTTTGTTGTGAGAGGTTCACGAACCGGGGACTGTGCGGGCACCGAACTTCTCCACGGAAAGATAGAGCCAGCGCCCATGTCAAGGGCTCGTTATCGCTCGCCGAACCGTGAACATCGAGTCGCGGAGGTTCGCTAGAGTTCGTTTCAATCGAACCAAACCACAGTGCGCACACTTTCTCGAACTCTTTTATTGATTTGTCAGGATTTTTGCGAATGTTTATCCGTGACGCGCCCACCTATATCCACCCGATCGCCTTCGCCGCAGACGCAGATAGGCGAACAAGATAGGTAGTCATGCTGTGCACGCGCCCCTGCGCGCCTCGCCCATGTGTACGCATGCTGTGCACACGCTATGGCCTTCTTTGTGACCCTGCACGCCGCCTTCATCACGCGAACGCATCACCTGAGGCCTGTCAGCTCGCAAGACAAGGGGCTGACTTACGCGAGACGCGGTCATGGACAACCGCTGTAGCATTTTCTGCGAGATCGTGTCATATCATTCTTCCATTTTGGTGGGCCGTTCCCGTCGTTCTCCTCATTGGACTGGTCACGATGTGTCCCTGTGAGTTGAAGGGTTGATATCCTCTTATCTCACTGAGTTCCAGACGACTGTATTGCAGAGATTTGTGCCCCATAACTGTGTTAGGGAACTATGTTCTATACGGAAATATGGACTGGAAGTGCGGAAGGATCCTTCAGTCCTGGCTGCGCAGACATCCTGTTAGCTACAGAGACCGCGGAATAAATCCTCTCTTGCGTGGACAGGCCATGGACCCTACGGGTTCTGGTTCGTAAAAAGACTCACCCGCTAGTAGTGCGTTGTGAGTCGCCGGAATAAGTGCGGTTCATAAGCCGCATACGTAATCCGTCTGTTCCCCCTCCGCCGATTAAAATATCTACGCATCTATGAATGTTTTCATGAATCAGGGCACTGGGACTCGGTGATATCCAACTCTCTGCTGCTGTGAGGGTGCTAGCTCCCCCGTCCCCCAAAGTTTCTTGGACTGAATTGATCATCGTGGAAAAGACATCTTCCTCTATCCTCGTCCTCCCACAGTTGACGGCTACCCAGAGTACCCAGCTCGCAAGTCACAAAGTCCGATCAGGCGAACCGTGGTTCGTCTAACTCACAAAGCGAGCAGCGCCGCCGAAGCCCCAAAGGACGATTAACACTTAATCGGGCCAAGCAGTGCTGATCGTGGCTGTGTCGGACTTTGGCCCTGTTCCTGAGAGCCAAATATACTTATCACGAACCGGGCCGCTGACGGCTGCAGGAACCTCGTTGTGCTGAAGGGAGATTATTTTACAATCGAATCGATTCATTTCGGATGTAATTGATATTTGGGAGCGCGCGCGGCGCGTCCGGAACCCTGCCTCCGTGAATTGAATGAATGAATGCTGGAAAATGGAAGCCTGAACGTCAAGGGACATCCGGTGAACGTAATGGCACAGGGTAAGGTCCCTTCGAGCGAATTCAGGAGATGAGCTTCTAAAGAACAATAGGGATAAGCCACGCGTTTTTCATTAGATAGGGTTGCGCGTCTGAGGGCTCGTCCGAGTGCTTCAAGAACGTAAAGTTCGTCCAGACCTGGTTTTCGCGGCGCTCGAAATCCATGGTTATGGACGACAGATATAAGGTTTCAAAGCCGAATAGAAGAAGGAGCGAGAAGAATTCCGCAGAGGACAGAAGGTCGAAGTATCATCAATAGTGATGAGAGTGACGTGGAAGCGAAGTCCGCTGGAATGTAAGCCCCAACGTCAAGTTCACGGTAAGATAGACCAAGTTGGGTAACCTCGTACGAAGTTCCTAGGCATTGATGTTATGTTATTTTTACGATCTCTACTTTCTAGGATATAGCGTGGAGAAAGGAAGCCAAAAACCAAAAGTGGTGCGTGAATCTGTGATGAGCCTGGAACCGCCTAAAGGACGAGTTAGAGGCTTCATTCAGTTGAGTGGATTCTGAGTTCATATGGAGACAGAGGCAATGAAATGTAAAACGGGGAGGTGAGGTTGTAAAGCGGAAAACTTCGAGAGTTTACTTAACTCGTATGGTAGGTATCAGAGTATCAAAACCTGCTTCTTGTCATGATGGTTTGGTGGTAGTTGAGTCAAAGGCTGTGGCATCAAGATTCAAGGTAAGAAATTTAAACAAGAAGTGTGTAGAAGAGAGTAGAATCCGTGATGAGGGTGGTCGAAGCCAAATGGAGGAACTAAATTAGAAGTTCGTCGCATTCAAATTTGAAGTGGAGACAGAACGAAGATCAGGAAGAATCGGAGTTCGGCGCTACCGAACCACGTCAAGTCTTGTGAGTCGGAATCCTAAGGCTCAGCATCCGGCGGCACGGCCTGCAGAAGCGGAAGGGAACAGAGAGGCTAGGCCCAGGGCGTCCAATTTGAGCGCTGAGCGCTGAACATTAATGTGTGTCTGGGATTTGAATTGGAAAATGGAGGGATCTAGGTAGCTCTGTCAGGGTCGAACTGAAGGTGAGCGCTAACTGGAAGTCGGGTTCGCGGCAGTACAGATGGGGTCAACATGATGACAAAGATGTAGTGGAATAAAGATGAACTAGAGTTTTCTAAATGAGTGGCAGCATAGCGTGAAGAAAGAATTTAGTCCGTCGAATGCAGGTATTACTAGTCTATGCATAATGTATAATTCACTGGATGAGAACAAATAGTCGAGGAAGAGAAATTGACAGTACAATTCATATTATGGGTTCCACAAGAGGTTCATGTCCTGGGTGGAAGAATACGAATTAATAAAACGCTTCCTGGGATGAGGGTTTCTTACCAGTGGCTGATGGCTCGAGAGCTAGGAAACGGGCATTAAGACGCGAGCGCATCGCTAAATGCATCTGAAGAACACACCTGGGGTGTTTGGAAGTTGTTCATCTCTACTTCCTTTCCCATCCTAGGAGATTTGCCCCTCGCGAGCCTCGTGGCATTGAATTCCCGAACCTCCTTTCGGTAGGCGCGCGACGCGGCGTGTAGAGTCACATATTTCTGATGCAAGTCGAAGCTATTGGAGGCAACCGCTTCATTCATCGAGAGGAAATAGAAACAAAGAAGACAGCTACCTGACGAGAGTAAGGACACTCTCTAGCGTCGGATGGGGCTCCCTCTCTGTAGACACGTTACACAATTCTTGCGGGATAGGTAGCGGGAAGACACACCAAGAAGATCGATCAGGGCCTGCAAGGGGAGGAATTACTATCAGCATTGTGCCATGTAGTGTTATCAATGCTTCTTACGACCGTCATGGAGGTACCGTTCCCGTCCTCGTACGTCTTTTGACCGTCAGCCGCGGATGATAAGCATACCTGAGGGGATTATCTTCAATGAAATAGAACAAAAGGACGAGCCTTAAGCTTACCACATTGTTACTAATCCATGGTACTCTCCGACCATGGCAGTATCCGTTGCAGTGTATCGACTCGGGCGAACGATACCGCTTCAGACCATGGAGGGAAGATTGGGCGGCAGCCTTCTGATTGCTCCCAGGGCTCGATGGGCCAGCCGCTCTTCCATTTTCCTGGATGTTGTTCTCATCGAAGACTTCTTCTCTTCGAGTTGCCATGGTGGATTCGTTGCTGCCGCTTCGACTCCCAGGAATCCGAGAAAAATGGAGCCTGAACGCTGATAGGGCTATTATTAGCGAGGAAAGGGTGGAAGAGCAGGAGGCATACCTGCTAACCGCCTTCCTGAATGGAGAATGAGAATGACGAATGAGCGAGAGCAAGATGCGTCTAAAGTGACGCATTGCGACGTACTGGTGATGTTCCAGAGACTATCAGTCTTTCGCGCCCCTTTGTTGACCCAAGGTACGTAGATTTGGTTACAGCGCCAGTGGTCTAAGTCTACGGACAGGAAATGAGTATTAGGCCCCCAGTCGAAAGCGAATAGTGTTGCACCGAGCAGCGTCCCAGACGTGCAAGAGTCGAATACAACCTGTGGTGCGCTGGTTAGCAAGATGCCAGCTATTAATGGTGGTGGAACGAACCGTAAGTGAGGCGTTCTTGGGAACCTTGTCCACAAGCTCCTCCCGAAGGACCTAGGATTCAACCCAGTTTAGGTGCAGCTGGGGAGCTAATAATGATCATTCGTACGTCATCCATGATGGTCTTGCCGTCACTGGTCCAAAGAACTGCGAAATGGGGTAAGCTGAAGGAAAGAAAGAGAATCCAGACGTACATTCGTCCATGAGGTCATATTCCCGAATATCTGTCGTCGGTACTTGGCCCGAATGTCCAGAAACTGTCCGAGCGGAATCAATCGCTTTCCATGGCATGAGTGGCGTAGAATGGACATACAGTGAAAGTAAAACCGGTCTCCAGCCTTTGCCCAACGTACGAGTAATTTTATTTGTTTCATCTATCGTGGTCGTTAGTGCCTCGGCCGAAAGGAATGGGCAAAGAACATACGATATTGTCCTTGGTGGGAAGGAGACCCTCCTCTTGACTTTCTGTATCAACGAGGCTCACAATATCGCCCGGATGGTACCCGTACTTTTCTGTCAAAAGGTCGTAAGTAGTCTCGTCAAAATAGATGCAGTCGCCCAGTCACCAGAGAACAACATACCGATTAGCAACTTCCTGGTAGTCTCGACGTCTTTATGCGGTCCCTTGAGTACACCACCGGTGCTCTGCCGCTTCTTCGAAGCCTTCTTCCGAACACCGTCCGTTCTTTCTGACATTCCGGGGGATCGGCGACGCGGCAAATCCCAATGAGAAGCGCCTTCTTCTGAGGTTTTCTGTCCGGATCGACGGGGCTCTGGGGGCGTTCAGCAGGGGACGCCAGCGCAACCGCCATCTGCGTCGCATGCGTGATTGCTTGTTCCTCGAGCGCAGATATCTGAGAAGGTGCCTGGGAGTGAGGCTGGGGATTGTGTTCGGCGTCGACTTCAGCAGGTGGCGATGAGGAAGCTGGCGTTACAGGACGTAATCTGGAGAACGCGTGTTGGAAGGGCATCTCGGGGTGAGAGAACGGAGGGTTCGGGGTGGTTGTATTCGAGGGCGAGGCACGACACTGTTCGTAGACCCTCAATAAATAGCCTTTCTGTGGCACGGACAGCGGCTACTAAAAGGAGCTCTCACAAAAGGGCAACAACAGCGACACCTCAAATCAAGGCAAGATTTGATCATCCCTTGAAAAACGCTTTAGAGGGCGCTGTCTCCAATTGTGATTTGACGGAGCGCCCATACACCTTAGCGACGCCGCACTCCAGTCCTCCTCTCCGAGGGTGGCATAAAGCTCCTCTGTGAGTGATCCCATCGTGCAACAAGTCCCAAACGCTGCTATTTCTACACGCGTCCCTGATGTGTTTCATGACCGGCCATTTGTGCCTAATGGAGTCAAAAGTCAATTGTATGGGAGACTCCAGATTGGATGGGTGATTGCAACTCAACGATTTCCGGCTGATGACAACTCTTCACTCGGGGTTTCCATTAGGGCCGGGATTAAGCGCTGAGAGGCGGTGGAGATTGGCAGGAGACCATATTTGATGCACCGATGTCCAGCCGTATGGTCGAGGAGGATCCGCTACTTCGTCCGGTGTAGGCTGAATTGGATAAATTACTGTCATGGGAGAACGACGCGAAGGTTGACAGAATGCTCCAGGTACAAACACTAATTACAGGCTTGACGGGATGAGGGTGAGCCGTTAAACTTGAAGAAGGGCTCCACAGTGTTACAGCACCCGAATGATGAGGACCAGGTTCGAACGTTTAGTGGCACTCGGATGGACGAAGAGAAAGATGTCAAAAGCATGGGTAGTGATGCGAAATAAGATGAAGGAAAGGTGCGATAAGGGCCAACGTGAGGGGTAGATGGATATAAGCAATGATAGTACGAGGATGGACCACCGAAATGGACGGCGGAGGCCCAATACGACGAAATGAGAACGACCCGGCGGGTCCGAAAGGTCGCTGAGGGGAAAGGAGTGTGTTAATGAACTTGAGCATCCGTCATCTGCCATGTCCGGGTCATAGCCAGGGGCGAAACGTTCGAGGCTGGACAGTTGCACCCGTAAGACACATTCGTGAAGATAACCAATGTCCGCACTTGCGCGTCCTCAGCTCTTCATACCGTCTCTTCCGCAGCGTATAGGTCTTGTCGGCTACTTATATAAAGGTGGATCGACGGAGGGTGGACTGGAGAAGAGAATTAACAAAATGTAATTGAAAAGAGATTTCATAGAACACAAACCTGATATGTGTTAGCAAGTTCTTAAGGGTCGAATGGGGTCTTTTCTTGGACGTGGGTTAGGCTATACGAGAGAAGCGGGGTGCAAGCATATGAAGCCCGGCGAGGCCTACAATCGTAGAGATATGAGGAACGAACGAACATCGGTCTGGAGCTGAGCCGACGTACCTCTGTCATCGATGCCCTGTGCGCCTAAACTCCACGGATGATGGAGACATCGGGTCCACCTATATGGTGTCATCACGCCGAAAGGAGAGGATTGTCAACATCCTCGGGCGAAAGGCAGCATGGTGTGGCGGAGTCAAGTGGCTCTCGCCACGAAGGGGATGGGATAAGTGGTGATGGAGACCATAGTAGGCCGGTGTCGGGCTCTGCAGCACCAATTGGCTGGGTCAAGATGCCTAACAATTGTCGGATCGGCACATGGGTTCGGTAGACGACGTTGGGTGGAACACGAAGGGTGCTCGCCTCTCTGGAAATTTCGGAGATGATTAGAAAAGTCGAACGCAAGAAAAGATGATAGGACTCACCGCGATGATATCGCCAACAACTCGTCTGTCCTTTCTTCCTCTTGTATGGGCTCATCGCACTCCTATTCCATAGGATGATGACTCAACAATTTTCAACATCAAGAAACGCGAACGCACAACTTGGACCTATGATAGCGCGAGATGCAGCTTTTGGGCTTTCCCTGGTGACGGATGACGTGCGGCTCAGATGACGCTTGGTTGAGTGGGCTGGAGGCATTGGTGAGACGTGATATCGTCCGTATGGCCGTGATATACCCCTAGGATGAGGTTTAAGAATCTAACCTAGGGCAGATACTGTTCAATAACTCACCGATGAGCATCCATTCCTTCTTCGGTGTAAGGTCCATCCAATCAAATCGGGAGTGTTGTCGCGTCATATGGCCCCTTCTGATTTCTCTTTTTGATAATGAGAAATTTTGATGTCTCCGCGACCAGGGCGTCTGTTGCTCGGTCTGCCACGTCGAAGGCGTCAACCAACAGGGCTAAGGTGTGCGTCTACGCTCGCCACCTTGGCTATAAGGAAGAAGCACCCGGAATATGAGTATCTGGGCCCGTAAGAGGTGAAATAGAAACGCACGTTACGACCGACGACCTCCCAAGTTTCCAGCGGGGCTAGGGAATTATTGTCAGGATGTCAGTTGAGCGGAAGTTTCTGGACACTTTGAGTAGAATATCGCGCTGGAATGATGGTTGACTGGAGCTAGAAGACATGGTATCGCAGGGCGTGGGTTGGAGGTCGTTGAAGAATGTTCAAAGTTCGCGAAAGAGGGTTGAGCGCAGCGGTGTTCGATTTCAGCCATCTAATCTAATCTACAATTACATGACTGAAATTTCGCCGCCTCGCTCAGCGACGACCACCTCCATTCTTGCTCCTACAACGTGCGTTTCACAGTAATGCGCGTTGACAAAATTCATGCACAGAGAGCAATTTCATAGTATTTGAAATAATTATAAGCTAGATTATGGTAAATGTTCATCATATGTCCACCCTGCAACGGCGAACTTCGCCCCCAGCAGCGAGGAACAGTGAGAAATACCATCTATAGAGTTTTGTGGGTATAAGGAGCATAGGGCATATCGTCGAATCGCGCCGGCGGGAAGGCTGAATTGCCATGCGGGGTTCTGTCTTCATATTCTAGAAAGAAAGGACGTATAAGCATCATTGCATTCGAGGTAAGAGGGAGCACGTACCACAGGTTGATTGCTGGACATCTGCGTAGGCGGCAACGTATAATTCATCAGCAAAAAAAAATGAGAGACGCTGGCAAACGAACCTGAGGTTTCAAACTTTCTCTATCATCCTTCTTGCCAGGTGCATACCGGGGGCGATTCTTGATACGAGAGAGAAAATCAGGGTGCTCCTGCTGGATGCGCTCGTCGACTTCGACAATCATGTTATTCTTCACGCTGCGGGCATGTTCCCTATTAACGAAGAAAACTGTGTGTAAGCGACGAGGATAGGTCTGATATTATGACACGAATTTCGCGTTCTCCATAATCTCTTCCAAAGTCGGCCGCGCGGCCGATGTCTCAAGGAATGAAACGATGGACTAGAAAATAGATAAGGAAACGAGGCTGCTCTAAGTCGAAGCCCGAATCATACCTGAGGCCTGAGTCATCGTTGTAATTTGCATCTTCCAGACTCGAAAGTCTGTTCGTAGTCTGTACAAGCGGAGACGAAGATCTAGCCAGATCGATCACGATCGGTCGGTAGACACGCGACGCTTCTCGCCGATCTTGATCGGCAGGCGAGGACAGAATCCTGCAGTGGTGTGCCGGTCAAGCAACCGTCAACAAAGTCAATGACGGTCAAAATGCCATCAGCGACGGTCAAATGTTTGACCATTGTTCGACCGATTGCCATAACGAGAAGGGATGACATCACTAACGTTGACCATGACATTCCAAAGAACAGAGATAGCGAGTACAAGGATACATACGTCAATAAAGAATGTAATTAGTTTGCGAGAACCTCCTCTGCGACCCCATCAAGCTCAGGATCCTCCTCGCCATCTGCGTCCAGCTCCAGAAACTCGTAAAGGGCAAGTTCTTCGTCGTAGTTAATAGTTGCATGGCGGCGGAAGCGGTCTTGCCAATGCTTCGAAGCAAAATCAAATAGCGAGGCAAGCGAGCGACTCACATATTTGCTTGCCGAGCTCATCCTTCATACGGGCTGCTGCAACAAATCCCAGACGAAGTTGTTCTGCTTCTGCCTGGCAGCACTGCTTGATTTCAACTTCATAGCAGGCTTTGCAATAGCATTTCGTTTGCCGGACTTTGTCGATTTTGCGCCAGATTTGCCGAACAAATGGAAAATTGGGTCAGCCTGAGACAACGGACAATCAATGAAGTAGGCGCGCCACCATCCCCGTCGGGCATTACTACGTGTGGCGGATGGCCTCGACATAGCAGAAAGAGACAAATGCAGGAGTAGGAGGCGAAACACAAAGACGAAGCTGCCTGGTCTGTGTCAGTGATTCTCCCAGCTTTTTAAGCCTCTCAGTTATCGGTTTGAAATAAAAATATGTAGATAGTGTGTAATTTACAACGAGCTTCCACATGCTAATCTGTCAATACTGAAATAATTATACTTCTGAGAAAGATAAAGAGTGAAAAAGGACCTGGAGAAGGAAGGATCCTTGAGGTTGTGAACCTTGTCATCTACCAGAAATGGGGCCTGTGTCACACTGCGGAGTGAAATCAAAGGACTATATTTATTCTGTTCACACAAAAGAGCAAGCCTGTATCACACCGGGGTAAAATTAAAGGATTATATCTATTCTGTACGCACGAAAGAGCAATCTGTCTGAACAAAGAGCAACTGAACGCATAGCGCACTTGATGTTTGATGCGCTGATGGGAGCTGTCTAAATTAGGCTTCGACCCTCGGCAAAGCAGTGGGAAAGTCCATCAAATATTGACCGTCGTTGACCGTCAATTGACCGTCAAGGTGGTCAACGGTCAACGTTCGACCATCAGTCATCGACCGGCCAACACTGGAATCCTGGGGAGCTCCTGTCTATCTCGCGAATCGTCTTCGTGAGGCAATTACCGCTTAAATGATCGAAGAGGTTCGACGACGACTGAGGTAGAAGAGTCGGCTCGAAAGTCTGGAAGAAGCAGGACGAGAGGAACGCACCACGTTGAGCAACACGGCGTACTGCGATAGCAAGGTATGCGTCAAATCCGACATCTCGAACGAACAAAGGTCTAGCAACGTACGGTACTCCTGAAATCTCCTGCTCGATTACAATGTTGATGGCGTAGACCTGGGGATCCTTGATCAGCGGACGATCATCATGGAGGATTAGTGGCGAAGACGCACTTAGAAGAGTTCCGGAGTGATGGGAGTCGACGAGCGCCCGTATGAACGTGAGTAAAATCTTCAGGGAATCTTCATAGGATTGGCGTACCAGGAGTCGGCAACCCTTCCTTAAACGCTTTACCAGTGTCGTGTTCAACACCTTGAGAAAGAGTTGAGACGTAGATAGGGTCGTCGAGGCAGTAGCCGCACCTCACCTGTGATCTTCTCCTCGATAATATAGCTATCACTGGGGTGGATGGGATCACATGGGATGATATCTGCGAGGGATCGTTCAGCTCGAACGGCAAGAAATCGGCGCCAGAAGATACGTACACTCCTCTCGCCTGTCTTCTTTAACACCTGCAATGTCTTCTCGTTGAAACGAATGACCAGAATCTAGGTCGATGTCAGAAGTAATTGACGCGTAGATCAGAGGAAGACGCACAAAGGAAGAAGTAATCGCCGTTGTCCTGGCGTAAGATGCATCGCTCCAACTGAAGCAGCTGATCCAAGAAGTAAGGCACGTTGGGCAGCGGAGGCGGTGAAGGGGCCTATGATATTCTCCTACGTTGGACGATCGGAAGACGCATCGCTGTCCGAGAGCATGATGATGTCCTTTTCCTCGAAGCCGAAGTGTTCTAAGGGTTGAACTCTGGGTTAGACCAAAGAGAGGAGAGAGAGCAGGGAAGTACGGAGCCGTAAGAACCTTCTTCACACAGGTGTCGTTGTTCGTAGGCTCCTTCAGCCTCCATCCGTGTTTCGGTTGCGATTCGGAATAGGTGACACCGACCAAGGATAGCATCTTCTGACATCAAGGTTAGTATGGAATAGCCCGGAAAATGTCGACCTGAGAGGAAACATCATCAGCGGGCAGAAAGGCAGGGAAGGAAGTACGATGCCTTCCGACGCACGGACACAGACCTTGAATATGTCAGGCTGACAGCGAAGCTCAGCGACATCTTCTGGAGTAGCAGGGGAATGAGAGCCCTATCAATATCTGCATTAGCATAGGGTGAGAAATGAGGGGGGTTACCACATACCTCTGAGACGTGAACAAACGAATGTAGCCTTGGGTCACGACACGGCCCAGTGTAAACTATGGGTGGTGCTCAAGGATTTTTGTAGCCCCACCAGGCAGTGAGGTACAGCGAACAAGAACCAAGAAGAAAGGCTCATCTTTTGAGCCTACTCATACAGGCTGTTAAGCAGTGCGGTGGCTGGGCAGGCCTGTGGCGATGTTGGGGCATGGGGGCGGAACAGGCGTCTATGTGGGCGTCTGACGTCAATCGCCCGATGTCCCGTGTGCTTCATCCCGGGCAGTAAGACAAGTTGATAGGCGAGAAACCTTGCAAGAGGGCTCGTGCCGTGCGATGGGGTAGTGGTAGTTGGTCAATGATGAGGTTGTTCAAGTTTCGTACAGCGTTCGCGTAGACAATGTCGGGTACATAAGATCTCTCCAAAATGCTTTCCAAAAAGAAAGGGGAGCACATCGCCTGTACGTCGCCCAAGGTTTCGATCTGGAATCACAATGTTCAGCCTGTCGCAGCCTTCAAGCGCCACAGGGAACTATCAATTGCAAATGATATCTGTCTTTGTGTACAATCTTCTTTATATGAATTCGGCAGGCATTCTTTATTCCCCCGTTGGATCGCTCCCGTCGGTCGACTGGTTGTGTAACTCCGGGTAGAGAGAAGATGTGGTCGGATAAGTCTATTGAAGGAGATAGCAGCTAGAGGAGTAGTATCGTACAATAGTCACCAGTCTTCCATATTTCTGTACCTCACGTGTCAGAGTCTGAACGTCTGCTTTGAGTTCTTGTTTGGCAGTACGAATGTCGCCTTTGAGTTCATCCTTTAAATCACGGATCGCATTGGCGAACCAGGGGGGCGGCTCGTTGACGTCGGCTGGCTGTTCTCGTTGTCCTCCCGCTGTATCAAGTCGTCAGCCACCTTGACAACAAATCACCTGTAAAACGCACCCGCCACGAGCAATATCTTAGTGGCGTAAGTTGAACCGCTCATTGGATCAGTTTCCGAGACCTTCCCTTGGACTAGGGGCGTCAAAGTCGGGAATGGGGAAAGAAAGAGGCAGCGGCAGGCTCACGGTGGCCTAGGACGAGGTCGTGGCCGAAGCGAATGGCCCGACCGAAATCGTGGACGGACGGTGGATCGCCTGGCTGATTTGGAACGGGTACCGCGCATGTGTCGCTCATTTGTGGGAGTTCAATGGGCATCGTTGGTGGCAGAGAGTGGTGGGTGTAAGCAAAACGCGTCGAACACACCAACACACAAATGTGTCTCGTGACCTGATGTGGTAATCTCCGAAGTCGTTCAGAAAAGTGAAGTCACCGCCTCGCGATCTGTTCACGCTTCTGAAGGAAGGACATGTTTAAGTTTGGGTTCGGGACCGTATCTCACAGTTCAAGCAAAATGAATATTGATAATCGGCGTATAACTTCAAATTCGTGATGCAGAGGGCAGCTAGGAAGGACTACTTACTCCATGGCAGGGCGTGATAACGGAAGGTGTGCTCTTGGAGTTGTGTGTAACGCATCACCGAATTTGACCGAGTGTAATGGTCTATAGAACGCGAAAGTGCCACTCATCCCTGCTCTAGAGTACACACTAATGCACCCTCTACCGCCTCCTTCGTTGTCCAAGGCGTCCTGTATGGCCTAAATCAAAGGTAAGTTTGTTGCGAACAATGATGACAACGAGAAACTCACCGTATGCTCATGCAGACGTTTCCTTGCACTGACAGTCGACTCGTCCATGATGACCCGAGACTCCTCGCACCTCTCTCCGTCGCCGTTGCGCACCTTACAAACATGGCAAGTTCGTGCAGATCTTCAGTGAAGAGGTGGGACACTTAGGAGCAATTCGAGACGTTTAGACACGGCGTCTCGGGGCAAGGACGTGCCGCTGCATACTTCGTGAGTGGCTGGTGATTCGCATGCGATACTTGATGACGTAGGGGAGTCGTCGGTGGTGTGAGCGCCGTTGGAGTTGAAGACGAGGTGCGGGTGTAGCACACATGCTATACAACAAGGTCAGTATGTTACGCTGCACCAGAATGTGATTCTAACTCACCTTTGGTTCATTTCAGCGCCTGCCTTTCATGTAGTGTCCCGCCCCATCTCCTGACGTTAGCGTTCGCAGTCGTTAGTGGCCAGGTGAGTCGTTGTCCGCCTTCGGCCCGATCTTCGCCAATTTTGCGTGTTTTGGCACGTTTTGCACTCCAGGTAGTTCATGTATGCGTACTTAGCAATATATTGAAATTTGACGTTGCTGCACGAATTTACAAAGCGGAGGTCCTACACGCTCTTCGTCAGCACGATTTAGACTTGATGACCACGACGAGACACGTACGACCTACCACAAACACAAACCCCACAACGTCGTACGACCCACGTCCACGTCCACATCCAGCACCTTCCCAACCCGCTCATAGCCCGCCTTCTCATTAATGTTCGGCGCTGCGTTCGACGTGGGGTAGGTGGTTGGTCTACGATGCACGAGAGGGTGTTGGGGCGAAATCTAAGGATACAAGTAAGTTATATATTTCATTAACGAAAGGTAAGCTTACCTACCTTTCTTGTGGTGCCGCTACGTCGCCCACAACGACGTTGTCGAAGGCGATGAGGGTTGGCTTACCTTGTCCTAGGCCGGGTTATCTTACCTTGTCCTAGGCCGGGTTATCATCCCCTTGGGCAGCGCTGCACGCGTGGTCATCGTCTAGCGAGACGTGGGAGGGTAGAAGGTCGCTGTTGGGTGTTGGATCGTGTGGGAGGGCACTAGACGAACGTAAGTCGTCGTCCGTAAGTGACACAGCCCTGTACTCACCACGCTCTCCCTCTTTCCTACTAAGATACCCTCTACCCCCTCCTTCGTTGTCGCCGTCCAAGATGTTGTATATAGCCTAAACGGAGGTGAGCTCACCACGAACAATAACGACAACGAGAAACTTACCATACGCTCACCCAAAACGCCTTCGCCAATCCTTGCGCCAACAGCCATCCACGACGACCCAAGGCCCCTTTGCACCTCTCTCATCTCTCTCCGTCGCCGAAATGTCCTGTTGTGCGCATATACGAACCTGGTACGTTCGTGTTGGTCGTCGAGAACGAGGTGGAAACTTACGAGCTATCCAAGGGGTTTAGATATTGCGTCTCCAGGCGAAAATGCGCATCTTACATCCTTCGTGAGTGGCCGTTCATCTCCCATGCTTGATGAGGTAGGCGCGGTCGTTGACGGTGGTGAGTGCCGACGAGGTGCAGCCGCTCAACAAGTACGAGGGTGCTGGAAAAAAAAAGGTAAGTACGTTACTTCTCACGAGAATACGACTCTTACTTACCGGCTCGTGTTATACCTTCCCTTTCATGTCGTGGTCTGCCCCGGCTCTCAGCGTTTGTGTTTGCGGACGTTGATGGTGTGGCGAGTCGTTATCCATCCGCCCGATCTTCGTGTTTTTTTTGGGTGTGCAGCACGGGGCAGGGCAGATAGGGCAGACGACACAAGTGGAGTGGGCAGCGCATGTGATGCGAATAGGGCGTGAGCGACGGAAAGAGCTGAGGCTCACGCGGTGAAGCCTTGGGTCGTAGCTGATTAGAAGACGTACGGACCGAGGGCGCGGTGGATGATCGATGAAGACGAGGTGTTGGGCATGGTGCGAGGGCGAGGGCGACGGGTGGTGCGGGTAGTACTAGTGTGAGGGCGAGTGGGCAGGGGCAGAGGGCAGGGGCGCGCAGTGGTACGGCGACACCCACAGGGACGAGGGCAGTGTGGAGGTGGAATAGGACGGCGAGGGCGTGGAGGCGCCGATGGGTCGGCGGTGCTTGGTGCGAAGGGGGAGTGGTCCGGGGCTGTAAGGCAGGGGAAAGCCAACGACAGCTCACCTGTGCGTAGCATCCACCCTTGCCCCCGCCTCCACCGCCCCCCAATGCCAAATCCAGCGCACATATAGATTCCTTGGTTCCGGGTGTTGGTGAGTCACCACGACTCCGCGCGGCTCATCCTTTCGAATGGGACCCGCCCGCCCAGTGGGTCAGCTGAGATGGAGAAGCGCCTCTCGAGAGCCCATAGTGCGAGCTCGAGGCGTAAGGAGAGGAGGGGAAGAGGGAAGAGCGTGTTTACGGTTGTTAGGATTCCGGGCCATTTACCGGACCCACTGGCCCGGGAAACTCTTGGCGTTGGCTTCTTTGCAACGCGACGCTCTGTCGGACACCGTTCGGGGCCAGACAGACTAGAATTGTTCATCGTAGAAAATGTCTGCGATTTGGAATTTGAGGGTTTGGAGTAAAAGTGGGCCAAAGCGTCAAAATTAAGCACTCAAAACCAAATGAGCGAGAATTTGCGCCGCAGGCGTCAAAATATTTCCGTTTTTAGACATTTCTGTGCGCATGTGCACATTTTCGCGAACACCAAACGCCAAGAGCTTCCCGGGGCTGGGATTAATTTCACTTGTAATCCATTTTTTTTTGTCAAAAGGCAATCTTCTTCCACTCATCCATCGTTGTGGAAGGTCTGCAGGACAGGTTCCTCAAATTCACCGAGCCTCCCTCCCCGAAATATAACAAAGACCGGTGATGAAGTGATTAGAAAACCTTAGCCTTAATGGAAATGTCTTTCATCGACTCGCTATATGCTCAAGCTAGCTACGGTTATTAGGAATATGTACGGCTATTAATGTCAATTTATTAATTGCAGGCTGGGGATTCACAGTTAATGCGCCGGGATAAAACCAACGCACCACGAGATAGAGAGCAGATTCCATAAGGTTAGAAATAATTGCAAGATAGATTATGGTATGCGATCCTAGAGCGGTGTAACTACTGGAAAACAAAACATTCGTTATATGTACTCTATGCTCTGCGGCGATGAGCCCCGTCCCCGTCCCGGGTGGCGAGAAAAACTGGTAAGAAATTACTAAGAATACAGCACAGCGCGTAGAGTCTCAGTAAGGTGAGTCATAGACGCGCATGACGCATAAGACATGTCGTCGAATCCTCTCGGCCAGAAGACTTGGTTGCCATACGTCGCCCTACAGGCGGAGAAGGGCCTTCATATTCTTTCTACAAAGTACGTATAGGCATCGCTACATTCGAGGACAGAGGGGGCATGTACCAAAGGCTGATTGCTGGACATCTAGAGTATATAGGGAGCAATGTATAAGTATAATTGGTCAGTAGAAGATAATAACCGAGGCTTTGGAAAACGAACCTGCGGTTCCCAACTTTTTCTATAATCCTTCTCGAAGAACGCATACCGGGGGCGATTCTTGATACGAGAGAAGACATCAGGGTGCTCCTGCTAGATGCGCTCGTCGACTTCAACGATTTCACGCTGTGGGCATATTCCATATTCATGAAGAAAAAAGTGCGTTAGCGACGAGGATAGGTCAGATATCATCACACCAACCTTGCGTTCTCCATAATCTCTTCCAACGTCGGCCGTGTGCCCGATATCTCAAGGAAGGAAACGAGGTTGCTCTAAATCGAAGGCTAAACTATACCTGAGTTATCGTTGGATTTTTGCGCCTTCCAGACTGGAAAGTCTGCCCATGATATTTACAAGCAGAGACGCAGATCTACGCGGATCGATTAGATCGACAAGTAGACACGCGACGATAAACGAGGCACTTACCGCCAGAGGCTTCTCGCCGATCTTGATTGGCAGGCGAGGAGAGAATCCTGAGCAGCTCTTGTCATTTCGCTAATCGTCTTTGCGGGGGATGTGCCACGGAAACAATCGAAGATAGGTTCGACAACGACTGGAAGAGAAGAGTCGGCGTTGGGATTGAAGACTAACCAGAAGAGGGTCGAGAGGGACATCCCACGTCGAGCAACATGGTGTACTGCGATAGCAATTCATGCGTCAAATCCAAGAGTGGTGGCCAAAGTTCTAGCGACATACGTGTACTCTTGAAATCTCCTGCTCGATTACAACGTTGATGGCGTAGATCTGTGGATCCTCGATCAGCGGACGATGAGTAACCCGTGGCGAGGACGCACTGAGAAGAGTTCCGGAGTGACAAGAGTCGGCAATCGCCTGAATGAACGTGAGTAAAGAATTCAAGGAATATTCGATAGGATGGGCGTACCAGGAGTCGGCAACCCTTCCTCAGACGCATTACGAGCATCGTGTTCAACACCTTGGAAAGAGTTGAGATGTTGACAACGTCGTAGAGGTAATAGCCGCACCTTATCTGTGATGATTTTCTCCTCGATAATATAACCGTCGCTAGGGTCAATAGCGTCGCATGGGATGACGTCTGCAAGGGAACGGTCAGCTCGAATGGGAAAGACTAAGTACCAGACGACACGTACACTCCTCTTGCCCATCTTCCTCGATACCGGTAGCGTCGTCTCGTTGAGAGGAATGGCCCGAAACTAGGTCAATGTCAGACGGAAATCACACGCGGGTCAGAGAAGCACGCACAGAGAAAGAAATAGTCGACGTTGTCCTCGTGTAAGATGCATCGCTCCAACTGAAGCAGCCGGCCCAAGAAGTTAGGCACGGCGGGCAGCGGAGGCGGCGAATGCCCCTACGATATTCTCTTGCGTTGGACAATCAGAAGACGGATCGCCCTCCGAGAGCACGATGATGTCCTTTTCCTTGAAGGTGAAGCGTTCTGAAGGTTGGCCCCCGAATGAGCATCGAAGGAAGGAGAGAAAGCAAGGGAATGCGGACCGGTAAGGACCTCCTTCACGCAGGCTACGTCGTTCGTAGGCTCTTTCGACATCCATACGAGCTCCGGTAAAGATTCCGAATATGTGACGCCGACTAGGAATGCCACTTTACGACGTTGAGGTTTCTGCTGCGAGAAGGGCACGGCCTTGAAAAGGGCACCTGAGGAGATGCAATATCGTCGGCGAAAATAGAGGTAGGAAAGGGTATGTGATGCTTACCGACGCTTGGACCCAGATCTTGAACGCACCAGGCCGACGGCGAAATAACAAAATGTTCCACGACATCTTCTGGCGAAGAAAGAGAGAAAATCCTGCCATCGATAACGTTAGCCCCAGGCTTTCGTAGAAGGGAGAAAGTCGAATCATCTACATACTTTTTGAGGCCCGTGCATAACGTCCGTAGAGTAGCCTAGGTCTCGACGAGCAGCGGCGGAGATGACAGGGGCTGCTCGAGAGCGATAATAGCCCCACCAAGCGGTGGAGGAAGTAAACTCGGAGTTTGTAGGAAGACACATCCGCCCACCATCTTTATGGAGGGTCATTTGGCGTGGTGTGGCTGGGCTGGGCTGTATCGATGCGCCGAGTCGATGAGCAGGTGAGCGTCTAACAAGGGCGGTGCGTGGGTCATCATGCATCAATCCGCGAGGCAGCACGAGGAGGAACAGACGAGGTGATAGGCGAGAAAGATGGATTGTAGGAGACGCTCGTGTCGTGTGCTGAAGTAGTGGTGGTGGGTCAACATGTTCGAGTTTCGTACGCGCTGTTGGCTCGTGTGAGTTTCGGCTAGATAAGATCTCAACGAACTTCAGATTGATCGGCACCGTACCACCAACACAATCCTCTGAAGCGCGTCTGAGGAACACATTTACGACTTTAGACCACCGGTCCGTGATTCTCCCCATTCTTTTCTTCAACACGAGCGTCAAATACGTCTCATTCGACTTCGGGAGACTCTTGGAACATCAACTGAGAATATACAGCAGCGCATTCCTGAAGTCTCACGTCCTCACCCCGGTGTCGAATAATTGGATTAGGTGTAGGCCAGAGAACGCTTAATACCCTGTCTTTCTTTTATTTTCTAGGGTAAGCACGTCCTGGGAACCTTGAGCAATTGAGACATCTATGCTGGCTATCGGATTCGTGACACTGGCAACTACCAGTCAAGGTTCAATGCGTGGCGCCGCCGAACAGTGATCACCGTGGTGCGGTCAGTGGTCGATTTTACACCTCGAAGTTGGATGTGTGGTCCCTGAATACAGATTACGAGTACGCAGGAGGTACCTTCAGCATTGTTCGTGGTCGAAAATAGAGCGCCCCATACCCGCCTCAAGAATACTGTGCTCCTAGTACACCTCTCCTCGTCAGAGCGTTGGTATTTGAGTCTGCGTCTGCACCTTGATGCGATCCGTCTCCACTGGCACCGTTCGCATAGCCTCGCTTTATCCGCACCTCCATCCTTCCATACCAGGGAAGCCGAGAACGCGCGTAGAAAACAGGAATTTTCCATAAAGGGGGACCCGAATACGACGCACCGCCGTGGGGGCTTATTCCTTCTGAGAGTATGATCTGGTTCTACATACACAGGCTCCCCCCGGTCCTCGAGAGAGGAAACCTGGGTCGTAGCCGTTGTCTTGAATGCAATTAGAATGACGGGAAAAGCTTGCAGAAACTGGAAACTTCGAGACCCCGGGTATCATGAGCAGACAAAGCAACGACCGCGACTCGGCTGCCATCGAAATAGTGAAGGTCGAGATGGTTCGACTCCCTGGAGCATACCCGCACACCTGCGATTAGTATAGGCTCGAGAGTCGGGTCGAAAGTGGAATTCAAACTCACGCGTTTTCCTGTTCGATGCCTTAGATGAGACCAGGAAATGAGCTGCAGAGAGGAACGGAGAAAGGATATAGCGATTCCCGATGAACGGTCAATTTATTAACCATCGAGGATGGTCTCCACGGAGTCGGAAGAAATATTGCCCAGCAATGATGGAACGCCCGATGATGATTTTTTGTGATTCCCGCCACGACGACGACGCTGGTATCACGCAGGTCTTGAGGGGCCTAGACAAGTGAATAGAAGGAAGACGCGCAGAAAACATAACCCGCCAGCTTCCAGCGCAGCCCGTAGCCAACCCGATTTGAGACCCAATCGCTAAGAATAACTCACCAGTTTACCGAGCTCTTGTAAATACTAACGACATACGGAAGATCACCAGCGGTGCGTATAGAGCGCCCATTCGAAGGCTACGCACATGGCGTAAGAATAGAGTAGATATGTAGTAGCTTCTTCACGAGAGGTGACCCCAAGGTGAAGCTTAAAGTGATTTTCACGGCGTCTGAATCAGAGGGTGGACGTTGCAAACTGACGACACTCGTTCGATTTCCTACCCCCGACAACGGCAACGAGGACATTATGCGGAGCAGTGATTTGAAACGAAGTGGGGTACTCTTGAAAAGAACTAGAAGAGCGGTAGTTGAATTCCCGAGCTAGGGTGTCTTGCAGAGAGGCAAGGGAATTTGAAGCTTGAACATTTGAACGCCGGACAGAGGGCTCGATGGCCAAGGGGGTACGGGAATGACGTCAATGAATGGCGGAGGCAGTCAGACGACGAGGTGGTGAGGACCTCGAGACTAGTACTTCATTTGACGCAATTTATACTCCCCCGATTAACGGTGAATGAGTGTCAAGACACGAACTGCATCATTACCCGCCGCGAGCCCAGTCGCTTTCCTTCGACCTAAGAATATCCACTGAGTTCATGAACGACCAAACGACAAGAAAATACTCGCTTCCCGGCTGTGGGAACGAGAGAACTAAGACTGGAAGTACGCTGACCATGCTTCTGGTGGGGCTATGAAAGAAGTAAGTAAAACGATTGACCAAGCCTTCATTACACCGAACGTCAGCCAACGCCGCGTACCGCGCCTGTGCTGACGAGTATGCATGAAAGACTTTGCATTCGCGCCTCGAAGATTCCTCATATCCTAGGTTTTGGGCACGATCTACTGAATTTTCGGTCGGTCAGCGCTTCTTCTCTATCGAAGACCCGACCCGCGCCGCATACCCACTCATAGAACCCTTGCACACTCCACCTGATCGGTGTTGAAATTTGCAATCAGACTTCGATCGCATACTTGCGCCACATACCTACTTTGATTTCAAGAAAGCTGTGCGACTGGTATATGCATGTACGAGTACGGCGCTCCTTGTCAATAACAAATTCCGGGCCAAAGCCGGACTCACGGGTGTTGGGATCCCACGAGGAGCCCGGCGTGTACCTTTATGAGTACTGTATAGGCTCCATACGAATCTAGAAGGCGTATCAGAAGACGAACGAAGTAAGGCGCACAGCCATGGGCGTCTATCTCCCGGGCCCCCCCATGGGGGTATAAGCAGATTAACCTGGAAGGAGTAGTAAGTACTGTTGGCCCCGAGCGTGTCGGATGATGTGGGACGGTGCGCCCTGATAAGTAGATGTGGAGTACGCACCGCGACTAGTATACGGTGGTGGTGTGGAATATAGAGTTTGTGTAGAGCCTACGGGTCACGTACTAGAACTAGGACAGTGACATACGCCAGGCCTAGTACGGGCCTCCTCGTCTTCCTAGATCTTCGTCGGCGTTGAAGTCTTTTTGCACAGGTTCGCCCTCTCGCCCTCTCGCCCACTCCTCAGCTCCATCCATCCATCCATCCACCATTTATGCCATCCATCCCATATGTCGCCGCGTAAGCCAAAACCGCGAACTACACGTACACGTGCACGTAGACCCATCCTTAGGCACAATGGCAGGAGGGGCGTACGGCGTACGGCGCAGATGGGCGCCTATCCACGGCTCTGCTCCGTCCCAGGGGCCAGGTGGCGGGGATACAAGGGGATACAGCGGGATACAGGGTGATACCGCCGAAGGTTCAAGAAAGAGGCCTCTCGGCGGCCGATCGCGCGAGCCCCCGACTTACTGGACTCGGACTCGGACTCGGACTCGGACGAGAGTCTTTGGGTGTACATATAATTACGAGGGCGAGGGCGAGGGCCAAGTCCACACTCGTCGGGGGATTTCTTGGTTGTCGATGTCATGAATGAAGACGAAGACTGAGCAAAGCGGTGGCGTATCGAGGAACGGGAAAGGGAGGGAAGGGTGAAGATGGAGGTGGATGGATAGATGAGCTAGAGGACGCCCGGCCAGCGCACGTCAGACTAAGACTGAGTGTGGACGTTGAATAGAGGCTGTCAGTGCGCGCGTTGCAATTGGTTGCGCTGGGGGAAGCCGCAGGAGACGGTCAGACGCGCGACTTTGCAGCGCAGCGTAGAGTTTCAGAATCGTTACGACTACGGCGGGGCGGTCTCGCTGTCCAGTGTCGGCCCCAGCCCGAGCGCATGCGCATGCGCAGCACTTGGAAGTTGAAGATACATTTGATATCTACACGTCGAACGATGCGTAAGTATGTAAGTAAAATGGGTAACCGAACAGGCCTGGTACCGTATACCAGTGCTTACAGTTACGGTGGAGTGAGAGTAAGAGATGTATGCAGATACCCAAATCCAGAATTCGAAAGGGAAGCAAGTGCGCATCATTCCCTCCGCTGACAGCGGAAGGAAATAGAATGGGACCTGACAGTAGGAGGCGGTGAGTGGGTGTGAGTCACGGCCCATGTGCGCCTGTCCAAGTACTGACTGGGCGATGGGAGGGGAGAATAGAGAATCTAGTGTGACTCTGGCAGAGGACGTCTAGGCGGGATGTTGGATCGACAAGCAAGTAATCCAAAGATTGGAACACTTACATCCTGTAGGCGATCTCTATGTCTCTGATAAGAGTTAGGCAACGCCGAGGCGGTGCTGCGGCGGTGCCGCCCAGCCCTAAACACCCCCGCATCCTAACACCGCCAAATACCCTCCTTCCTCTCTCTCCCACACCACGGGCGCTTCGCTCACTCACTCAGACTGTCAGATGACGCAGCGCCCGGGGCTGTGTGACTCATTGCGCGTCTACGGGTACGGCTGCGGGGCAGTGTCCCCGTGCCCCATGCGATAGGCGATTCGATTGGGAAGGAAGGATGACGAGATGACAGGCAGAGAGTCGTGGTGACTCACTCCCAACCCAAGTATCGCTATCAGGGGACGAAGAATCGGGAGGGGGCGCAGAGCCTCGAAGGCGGAGTTGGAGGCGGGAGCGGGGGTAAGGTACTTATACGCGCAGGTGAGGAGGAGGGTCTCCCCCGCGTTATCATACTTACACTGCTCACCCCGCACTAGCATTGCACTCGTATCTGACTCGCCCAACACACCGCTCCAATGCCCGGCAAACACGTCCACTTCGTCCAGGACATCGGGCCCTCCACGCCCTCGCCGTCCTACTCAACCTCCACCCTGCCCTCGTCCCCGGGCGCGCTCACCCCGCCTTCGCTCGGGTATGGGTCGCCGTACCGCTGTGCGCCGCTGCCGCCTGCACACTCTTACTCTCCCTCGCACCACACGCCCTCGTACGCGCAGCACGCGGCACCAACACCGACGCCCCCCGTCTTCATCCACCGCGCCCTCGCACCGCACGCCCCTCTAATCCTCTACGACCTCACCCTCCCCCCCACCCACATCACGCCCCTCCCCTCCACACCACCGCTCCCCCCCTCCCTCTTCTCCGAGCCAGCCACCAACCCCCGCCTCCCCTACATGCTCCTCCAATGCGCCCTGCTCCCCTACACACTCACCATCACCCCCCGCTCAACCTCGCGTTCCTATATCACCGTCGGGGACCTGCTCTATGGGCTCTACGAGGGCCTGAGGGTGGGGGTGCGCCCGGAGGAGCTGGGGGCCCAGGGGAAGGAGGTGAGGGGTTTATGAA